CCTTGAACTGGGTGGAAGCAACAAAGGGAAGAACACATGTTGTGACTCCGGAGAGAACACATTCTGAACTGGAGGAATCACCAAAACCGAATAAGACATGGGAGGGAGGCCAAAGGTTGACACAATTAGAGTTAGAAGAAAGAAGTAAAAAGGGCTTATGTTTCAAATGTGGAAACAAATGGAGCAAAGAACATGTTTGTGGAATGAAACATTATCAATTTATCTTGATGGAAGAGCCAGAAGAAGTGCAAGGAACAGAAGATCGGCTATATGAACGGGATGAAGCTTCAAACCTGCTCAAACCAAATGCCAAATAGTCTCTTATCATCCACCTTGAGGACAAGGTGGAAGAAGTTCAAGGGGGTGATGTTAGGGACCCGGACACTACCAATAATTAGAGCCTTATTAAGTCATTTTAATTTTGTTCAATAATAGGGTTTAGGCCCTATAACTAATTAGAAGTGGGCCGGCCCATTAGAAATAGAATAAATAAGTGTGAGTGGTGAGTAGAGGGGCAGGCAAAATTTGGGATCGGGACTGGGAAATTGGGAGTGTGAGACCACTCGAAGAGTCTCGACCTTTTCTTACGTTATTTTCTGTATTCCATCCATAAACCTTCATTAATAAACTAAGATTATCTACCGGAATTCTTCTGTTACGGTGTTACCTATCAGAGTTTCAAGCTCTGGGAACCTTGGACATTGCCATAAACTTGGCTAGGCAAATTCAGCACAAACAACCATCTGTGGCACGACCTCTAGCCATTAAACCGTAGCCAAGACAACCCCTTTGTACATGCACGATTGGTTCAAGGACTCGAGTATCATTCCCACAAGGACAATACATTATTTGTGGTGGTGGTGATAAATGGCGAAAAGGTCCCTGTTTTGGGTAGCTGCCATCAGTTAACTTTTAAGGTTTTGGGGGTTCACTTCCATGCTGATTTTTATGTTCTTCCTACAACTAGTTTTGATATGATTTTGGGGATCTAGTGGTTAAAATGCTTAGGCGCGATCATATGGAATTTTAACAATTTGTCTAAGCAATTTTGTTGGCTCGGTGCAACAGTTATATGGCAGACCAAAGCAACCGCTAGAAGCACACTAGCAAACATGGCAGTCCACACTTCGATAGAGCATTCTACCATAGAAGGCATCCTCAGCAGCCTCCATGATTTATTCCAAAAACTGCACGGTCTGCCTCCCCCACAGCCATGCGATCACCGAATCACTTTAATTCCTGGATGAGATCAAGAGACAGTGCACCGCGATATTGGAACAATGGATTATTCAATCAAGTCATTCACCATTATCTTCTCTAGTGCTCTTGGTCAGGAAGCATGATGACTCGTGGCACGTTGTTGTGTCGACTACAGAAAGCTGAATCGTAAAACAATATAGGATACATAGCTAATTCCAATTATGGATGGATTATTGGATGTTAAATTATAAACTAGAAGGATATTGAACATGGAGAGAAGGATTTTCTTTGTATTTCATTGGAGGGTTAAGGCCCTATATATATACATTACAAAGATAGAATATTCCTTTAAGATTCTATACAATAATAATATCCTAGAGTATATTCCTAAAATATTCTAAAGCATATTCTAAAGATAGAAAAATATTCTAAAGCATATTCTAAAGAATATTCTAATGTCTTTCACACTCCTCCTCAAGTTGGAGCATAGATATTTATCATGCCCAACTTGTTACATAAGTAACCAACACGAATTCCATTTAGTGCTTTAGTGAACAAATCTCCAAGTTGCTCTCCAGTCTTCACATATCCTGTAGAGATCAATCCTTGTTGTATCTTTTCTCGAACGAAGTGACAATCGACCTCAATATGTTTTGTTCTCTCATGAAACACTGGATTGTTGGCAATGTGTATAGCAGCTTGGTTATCACACCAAAGTTTAGCAGGCATTGGTGTCTTCAATCCCATTTCACTCAATAAATGGTTTATCCAGATTATCTCACATGCCGATTGTGTCATAGCCCGATATTCTGATTCAGCACTTGAACGAGAAACCACATTCTGCTTCTTACTTTCCAAGAGACGAGATTACCATCAACAAAGACGCAATAGCCAGATGTGGATCTTCTATCATCTTTAGATCCAGCCCAATCAGCATCTGCAAAGCATTCTATTCTCATGTGATTATGATTTTGATAAACAATACCTCGTCCCGGTGTCCCTTTCAAGTAACATAATATATGCTCTACAGCCTTCCAATGATCAAATGTCGGAGATGACATGTATCGACTTACTACAATCACTGAGTACGCAATATTTGGACGGATAATTGCGAGATGATTAAGTTTTCCAACCAACCGTTTATATCTTTCCGGGTCTTCGAATGGTACACCTTCATGAGTGAGTTGCACATTGGGAATCATGGGAGTATTGCTCGGTTTTGCCCCCAATTTCCCTGTTCTAGTTAGTAAGTCAAGCACATATTTACGTCGAGATAGAAATATGTCTTTCTTACCCTTTGTAACTTCAATCCCCAAGAAGTATTTCAATGAGCCCAAATCTTTTGTCTGAAATTGAGTATGAAAAATATTCTATAGGTCTGGACAAAGGTTCTGGTTCTAGGGTGTATTGATGTTCTCGAATGAGGGTCTGGACAGAGGTTCTGTTTAATGGTGTGTAGAGGTTCCGTAGATAGAATGGTGTGTAAGGTTCTGAAGTTAACTCAAGTTCTTAGAGAAAGAACCCAGTAAGAAGAAAAATAAGGCTATGACTGAGAACACAGAAAGAACACGGGCTGATTGGCTGAATAGTGAACTGAAATCTGAAAAATTAAACTGAAATAGAAGTCTCTAATACCATGTTAAAGTATAAACTAGAATGATATTGAACATGGAGAGAAGGATTTTTTTTTGAATTTCATTGGAGGGTTAAGGCCCTATGTATATACATTACAAAGATAGAATATTCCTTTAAGATTCTATACAATAATAAGAGCTACCGCCACGCTACCACCAGATTCCTATGGCCTAAGAGGACATCCCCAAAACAGCTAGTTTGGATGGTTGATTTTCCGGGGGGGGGGGGGGGGGGGGGGGGGGGGGGCTACGTCTGTATCTTACTATATACTTGAAATTTTATATAAAATGAAAGAATAAAATAGTAGGTGATCATGTTACCATTAGAAACACTCAATTTATCAAGACCTAGACTAAACCCTCCAAAGCATTCTCCTTCAAAACCTTCAAAAAAATCTCAATCGAAACAAGAATTTGATGGAGGGTTTCTAGTTGAATGGCATTGTAGGGCTTAGTTTATATCTTGATATGTACTACAAGTGCAAGACATTTACTGTATAAGGAACAAACATGTAAATCCATATTGGAGTACTGGAGCAAAAAGAAAACAGCATATAGACCTGTAGCAGAATCTTCCCAAGTGATATCCTCATTTGCCACCCACCACTGAATGAGGCAACAAGTCTATCAGCATCTTGAGGAGTAAACCCTAGCTCAGGCATCATCTTATTAATCTTAACATCAACTTCATCCAGGTCCACAGCTTGTGCCCTCCTCTGCAGCAAATCAAACTCATCCAATAGTCTTCCCATCAACTCCAAATCATCAACTGATTCTTCTATCGCGTGCTGGACCTTCTCCAGCTTCAACGCCACCTCCATTTCCTCCTTCAGCATGCTTAAGAACTCTTCCTTTACCGTCCTTGATGCTTGCACCTCAAATTCTTGGTTTAGAAATGCAACTTTCATATTGGTTTTGGCCTTGATCACATTTCCAGAATCTGGTTCTTCTAGGCCAGCAATAATCCGCAACTGCGTCGTCTTACCCGCCCCATTTACACCAACCAACCCTACTTTCTCGCCCTTCTTCACCTCCCAACTCACATCTTTCAACAAAGTGACACCTTTATAGGTCCTGCTGATATTCTCCATCTTGACCCCGGAAGAAATGCCCGACGCACCAGAACCAGATTGCTTGTTCCGGCGGCGCCATTGATCGGATTCACTGTCAGCCGTATTTGAGAATAGATTCTCTATGACTCCTTTCGCATCCGCCTCAGCCGATTCAAAGGCAGCAGCCCGCAAATTTGATGGAATTCTGAAGTTTTTCCTCGCATGACAGTTGATTACGGTGGTAGGGGTGGCGAGTTTATGAGGAAGAGATAGGCGGAAACTGGAATACAGAGCGGCGGTTTTGTGGGTTGAGCCAGTGAGGGAAGAAGGGGAGCGGAGGTCCATTAACCCACGGCGTGCTTGATCGATGAATTGTGGCTAAAAGATACGGAGTACATAGTAAACGGAATCCGTCCGTCCAACCAAGAGCCCGCTTGTCTTATAATTTTGATTTCCCCTCATGAATTGTCTAATAAGTAGAGAAAGTAAGGTTGGAGTTACTTTTTTAAATGTATTGGCTGAAGTTACTTTATAAGATCATTCTAACAATTTTTTCATATAATTTTTTATTTTATTTATTATTAACAAATATTTTAAATATAATTTTTTCAAGAATCAGCAGAATCAGCCAATACAGCCACTTCAGCCAGAACTTCATAAATTTCAGCAGAATCAGCCAATTCAGCCAATTGTAGTGTTTCCAAACGGGCTCCAAGGTTTTTTTGAAAACAAATAACTTAATCTATCTTAATCTAAAAGCAAAATGTTTTAAGGATACAACTCCCGCTCAAAAAGCTCATGAATCCAATTTTAGGGAGAGGTAGCGTGTGGGTTGCAATAAAGATATATCTCTTGCGTGTGATGTAGTTGGCACGCACTATTTGGATTTGATTTGCATTTTCCACTTTCTTCATTCAAGCTCTCTGGATTGGTCAATTTCGGATGTGAAAATAGTGCTTGGGGTGGTGGATGTGACATGTGAAATGAGTGGGATAGTATGGATTTGGATTTGGTCTTTCAATAGCCACGTTCGGCCACCTCTCTCAAATAAGACTGTTTAAAATTGAAATCTAGCCACATGGTTTCCCCTCTAATTTCAGATTACCTAATGCATTGAGGCTATCTTTATTGGTCCAATTGAAGGTGCAAACAGTGTTTCAAGTGGTGGATATGACATATCATGAAATGAATGGGATTGTGGATAGGGATTTGGTCTTGGTTTTCCAAAAGCCAAGTTCGGTCAGATTGGGAGGTGCAAACACTGTTTAAATTTGAAATCAAGCTAAAGTGTTCCCTCTAATTTCCAAAATTTTATTTATACGTGAGTGAATGTGGGTGGGTTGGTTTCGTTCCCAAGCTCTATCCCTATAAATAGAGAACCATTGATATCCAAGATCCCCACATCTACATCTTCCAAAGCAAACAATAGCTTAGGCAAAAATTCTCAAGACGGTTGGCATGTGGTCCATGTTCCGAGAAATAGACCAGAGCAAGACCACATGGGCGTTCAAAGCTAGGGCTATTCGTGTTTACCGGGAGCCTGCGCATGACTGCTTTCTGGAGTCCTTGGAGATAGTTTTTCATGATGAGGAGGTTTGTGTGTCTTAGATTATGTTGTTTCCTATTGCTCTTCCAGTTTTAAACTACAATGTTGGGATGAATTGTTATGGAAGTATTTGGGAGAAAATGTATGACAAAACACAGTTTTGAATGTTTTGTAAATAGGATCGAGGTGCTCATGTAGATTAAAACAATGAAAAGGTTCTATATATGCATTTTCTATATTCTAGACCATGTGTTCACTTTGTACGTAATTGGAATTTGTTCTGTCCACTCATAATTTAAAATTGCAGGGTTCCGAAATCCATGCACACATTCCTGACCAGTACATTAACATGTTCAACGGTGTATTCAAGGAAGGTCGTGTTTTCGCGGTTAAGAATTTTATGGTCGAGGAAAATTACATGTTTTTTAAAACTATGACCAAAGCTTATCGTTTACGTTTCTTCAGCAAGAGCGCGGCCTTTGAGATTAAGGGTGTTCCCTTTCCGTTGAGGACTTTCTTGCTTGTGTCGTTTGCATCGCTGCAAGCTATGGACACCATTGATGAGAAATACGGAATCAGTGCGCAAACTATTTTTTATTTTGATATTGGAACCCATTTTGTGTAGATTGTCGTCTAATTTGATGTTTATCTAAAAGATATAATAGGTCAAGTGGTACATGACAAGGACCCTAGGACGATTCTAAAAAATGAAAGGCCTAGAAAACTGATGGAGCTGATTTTGGGTGATACGGAGTAAGTTAACAGTTTGTTAATAAATATTTTGTTAGTATACTATTGTGGTTTCTTGATATATGAATTTTAACGAAATGCATTATTAGGGGAAACGTCATTGCATGCACCCTTTGGGGACCGATGGTAGAGATGTTGTTGACGTACGAGCTAACAACGTCGGATCCAATCATAATGATGCTCCAATGTTGTTGGGCTAGGAAGTACCGAGGTTTATTTTAAGTCCACGCAGCCCTATGATCCTTTGTAGTTCTTCAACTAACTAACATATTAAATTTTTTCAAGGTCACGTTCATGTCTCAAACATGTTCAACACCACCTAGGTCATTTTGAATGGTACTGAGGATGAATTCATGGAATTCAGGTCTAGGTGAGAAGTCGAACATCATTTAATTTTCGAGATCTAAAAAAAGCAATTTATCAAAACCGAAAAATTACTTGAACAACATGGGTGAGAGGGCAGTTCAGGGATTGAGTTTCACTATACAATCAGACAACTCCAATGATGGAGACGTTGCAAGTGGGCAGCAAGAGTTATTGACCATTGATGATCTTAGCAAACTACGGGAGGTTTCATTTGGATTTGAATTTGCAATTGAATAAATAACTCTAAGGATTGATGACCTATTAAACCTAACGGAATTATTTTTTTTGGATGATAAACAGGATGGGAAGCACTGGGTTTACGGGGAAATTGTCGCCATCGACAGCTATAAGGATTGGTCTTATGTTTCGTGCATTGGTTGCAACAGGAAGGTTTCCGCTAACGGTGATTGGATCCGACGTTGCCTAACGTGTTTAGGTACAAAGTTAATGTGAGGGTTGTTGATGGTACATTAGAACGTAACCCTACTAAACAGCACATTGCCTAACGTGTTTAGGTACAAAGTTAATGTGAGGGTTATTGATGGTACAAACCATGTGCCTTTCTTGCTTTGGGACAGAGAAGTGTCCTGTTTGTTGGGCAAGTCTGCAGCCTCGCTCAAGGACCAAATAACTAGGGTTCGTTTTAATTCTATCTCCATTCTACCTAGTTTCCTTCTGAGCAACACTAGCGTTTTCTATTCATGTAGAGGAACTTCGGTCCGCATTACTTTCCATATGAGAAATTCTTTGATTGACATCAAGGCTCTATTTAGAGTTCAGTTCAAAAGAGACAGCAGGAACTTTAAGGGAAACCAGACTTTTAGTGTTCTGAAGATGAACACGGATCCTAAAGTACTTGCACTCTACTCAAATAAAATAAATGGAAAGGAGGTACTCGGGTTTTATTATGTTTTTAGTGAGGAAATTTGGGATAAAGTTCTCTAATTATTCTATGCTTTTATTAGGAGGAGGATGAGTTCAGCAGATTGGCTTCGCAATATTCTGGGACTGAAAAGGTGGTGGATTTTAACCTTAGTTATAAGTTTATCACATTCTGATTTAGATTGTTAAGATGGTCAATTATGTCTTCGAATTTCAGGCTGGATCTTCACAGGCTACAGTGTCTAGCCCACTTATGACTAAGGAGAAAAGACAGGTTATGGATGTGGACGTTGAGAGAGTGAAGCGTGACCTATTTGGAGATCATTCAGTGTCAACTTCATCAAAGAAGCTCAAGGCAGTGAAGATTGAAAAGGAGTGAACAAAGAATTGAATCTAGGCAGTGTTTGTTCGGTGTGATTAATATATATGTTGTCTACGACAGTGATATACCTGCTTAGTTTATTAGATCAACTATAACTGTAAAGGACAAAACATCTACCCTAGCGTAGCCTTGAATTCTGAGTTATTCTTTGTGATGGCTTTTTTTTTTGGGATGTTTTGGTCTGGGTGAAAGTGGTCACTAGTAGGTTTATCTACTGCTGCACAAGCTACCTATGTATTTTAATTTGAAGATGCATTCAGTGGAATGTACCTTTTCAAAGTGTGTATTGAAGATGCATTCTAATAGATTGTTTTTGTTATCTAAACTTTGCACCAGCTACCTATGTATTTTAATTTGAAGATACATTCAATGAAATGTACCTTCAAATTGTGTATCAGTATGCCTTTGATTACAGTGACTTCTAAGAGTTGTTGGGTATCAAGGACATGTATGTGTTCAACAAAGGATGACTTCAGGTTTACTAATATATTCAGTAAGCGCTGAATATTGATTTACCGTCCATGATAGCTCAGTGGGACTATTTCTTTGTTTAAGCGGTTTTCGATAGTCTGGGCTATTGGATCAGTTACAATATTCAGTCAAAACTGAATGTTTAACCTCTATAGGAGTGTTCTATTGCTTCTATGTATAAATACAAAGGAAGTGGGGGTAGAGGTATCAAGGATTGCATTCATAGACTTGAAGAGGGATAAGGTCAATATATAATAACTATTCAAGAACGAAAATACTTGGTGACAATGAACTTAAACGTGTGTTTTTAAAGAAGGGTTTGCCTATGTTTGGTTATGAAAAATATAATAACAGGTCAGCAGACTTCACTAGCAACGAAAACTAATATCATAGCGTGTTGGGGAAAAACCATGGTTTAATAATAAAAATCGATTTGTGTTTTTTTGAACGTCTTAAATTCAGAACTGTACATTTAGCGTAAATGCATAAACGTTCAAAACCATGTAGACAAACTCAAACTTAAGCAAGGTGTGAAAGGCGTACCGGGAATCTGGCCTGGAGCTTGGAATGTCCTTAATCTACCCTATATCTATTATTACATAAATTACAGATTGAAATTACAAATAAAAATGATACTAAATATATCCTAGGCATTTGTCAATCCCTCTTCGAATTGAACACACTCCTGCATGTTTATAGGAAAAAATAATGATGTGTTAGAAATTGTATAAATTAGAATTCATTGTGAGCTGCATATATAATCTGTCATAGGAAATTCAGGGGGCATTCAGGGGGCGGTAAAATCTGGTAAAATCGATCTAAATTTTCGGATTTGACGGATTTTATGCAGAAATGAAATGCATAGAATTTCCTATGAAATGTTTTACCAGATTTTACCGCCCCCTGAATGCATGGGCTTTCTATAGGGCAATTAGTTTCAATTTGGCAATTCTAATAAGTGTTTCAAATAAAACAACATTTGTGGCATGTATAGAGTTATTATTTACCATTTGACATGTCTTCCAATACAAATTAGAAGATAATACCATAATTAATCTAATTGGTGACCTCAGTTTTGTTATGGAGTCTAACTTAATTAGTTAAATTGTTTTTAGACTACCCAAGGATTTTTATATATAATAACTTTCGAAAAATGTTTTTAAGACTGTAACGTCATTTTTTTCTCTTCTGTGAACTTAAAGAATGCGTTGTGCCATTCTTTACACTCAACTGAGTGATAAGGTTAAGGAGTTTAAAAATTAACTCCTTAGTGTTCTGTATCTGATTAACAATACAGGCATTTGATGTGTTTAACAAACGTGTCACCCATGGTTTTCACAGATATAGTAAAGTGCAATACACATCACAACTTTATTTTTAATATATTCCAGTTTAAAATTCGAGGGTCTATCCATGATGTAAGTGATACTAAAATTAATCTAATTAATGTCCTCATGCCTATCCTGTGATATTAAAATTAATCTAAGTCATTTTGTTGTTTTGGCTGAACTTAAATAATTTGTGATGACAATCTTTCAACTCAACTTGAAATCATCATCAGGTGTTTAAAAAATCACTACTTCATGTTCTTTTCTTAATTGACAATAAAAAAGTTGATATTATTTTAACAAAAATGTCATGTCTGGTGTGTAAAAAAAAGGTAAGAGGAATACACAGTTTGAAGTAACTAGCTTTTCAGACTTTTTTAAAAAACTGTAGAAGGGATGGGCTCAATCAATCTGTGGTTGACAGATTTCGACAACTCATTAGTGTGTGACTGTAAATTGTACTCGAGCACAACAAATCTGTGAGATCTTGGTGAGGAATTGTGTTCCTACGCCATTGGTTACTTTTTCAAAGCAAAACAGTGCATGAGTGGTCTGATTGAGTCACCTTTATTATTATTGGAAGAAATGATGGTTTTTTACTGTTTTTTGGCAAAAAAAAAATGGTTTGTCATTGCATGGTTTAAATCGTATCAAGCTTTGCATATCTCAAAATCTGTAAAAAATTCATATAAATGTCATGGTTAGGACTACATTTACCCGGATAAAATTTTTGTAGCATTCTCCATCCAGAGTCTCATCCTTTCACCCTTAGATCTTGCATACATTTTGTGAGATTTAAGGTTAATAATTTTTATTTTACTCGTCTATTATAATATAAGTGCTTCAAGTTGAAGCTATGTCGTGCAGTCTTACTTATTTATTTAAAGTGTTTTTTATGACTGCCCCAGATTTCTATGATTTTCATACATTAACGTGTTATGCATCCTTTCATCCATGTTTTTTTAAACTTTTTTTAAAAAAATGATTGGGCAAAATCATTTTTTCCCTGTATTGAGCTTAAAGAATGGGCAATGTCATTTTTTGACTCAACTTGCAATGAGCTTCAGGTATTTAAAAATTCCCTTATTAATGTTCTTGACTTGATTAACAATAAAGACATTTGATTTTATTTTAATCATAATTGTTTTTATTAGTGGAAAAAATGATTGTTTTTTACTGTTTATAACCCAAAAGTTTGATCTTAAAAGCTTTACATATCAAGCTTTGATCTTAGGTTACACTTTTAAGTTTAAGAGTTTAATGTAATGTGTAAACCAGTAAAAGCTTTACATGGTTAGGTGTACATTTACCGGGATAAAAATTGTAGTAATATCCATCCGTAGCGTGTACATGGTGTAGATCCGCACCTGGGAGTCTCAAGCTTTCACCTTATGTCTGCTATTTCTCCGTTGTGCATGGTGTAGATCCTGCACATAGTGTGTTTGAGTTTAAATTTTAATTCTACTATATTTACTCATCTATTCTAATGTAAGAGGTTAGAATTGAACATAAAGGTTCCCGTTTTTAATTATAAACCAAAAAAAGTGAGTGTAGTATGGCTGCTTTCTACTCTACTTTAAGATTTTCATCCATTGCCATTTTTTAGATACAAAGGAATGGGAACAGAGGCATGTTTGTATGATTTGGGTGGAGGTGAGGATGCAAAAGGTGTTATAAAGAGGTGCAAATCCTGTTCTTCACTAGGTCATCGGGACGTCATGTCATGCCCCGGACCCACCCGGACACGTCAACAACCCGCTGTACTGTACGAATAGTCAACTGCAGTCCAACACATCCAACTATACAAGGTGTCTTGAATATCATTCACACATAATACATCCATAAACAAACATAATGTAATATATTCATTTAAAACAGCGGAAGCATTAATACAAGTGTTCAAGCCACACTTGGCATAATTGGGCATACAAGCCCCCAAAATAATTATTCAGAAAATAGTATCCATGAGCATTAATATAAGTGTCTTTAAAACAGAACGGAAGAAGCACGAACCACGTCTTATTCCCTTGATCTTCCCGAAGCAACGAGCGATGGTAGCAACCTTCAAGTTCTACCTGAAACTGCGAGGTGACAAAATCTGTATATCATGCTCCTTTTCCTTATAGACAAAAGTGTTCTCATTCTTAGGCATTATTAATCAATAATAATCCATAAAAAACATTTAATTACCTTAGGTAATCTCATGAAATTAACTCACTGATTATGAGCAATATAGTCAGCCATCCTCACCTTATGACGTGCTACAATAGTTGCTTTTGTTAAGCCCTTCGATCAATCCCCATTCTAGGCCGATTGAAACGAAAAATCTGGACATCAGCCAAAAGCCGTGCGGCTTTTGTGAAAGCCGCCCAGTGTTCGCCTTATGCCGTTTTGAGCAGTTCGTTTTAAGCGGCGATTTCCGGTGATTTCGACTCCTATCGATTCACCAACTCTTCTAAGTTAATTACCACCACTTTATATCAATATTCTACACTTTTAAACGTGTAGAACTCGTGGTTTAATCCGCCCTATGATTTCTTAAAAATCATATGAATAAAATACTAGTTAAAGAATACTAGTGGGATTCTTACCTTGAGTTCTTGCTAATTCCCTTTGGATTTGCTCCGTTCTTGCTCTCTCCTAGCTAGAACTTTGTGAGGTTATGTCTTAGAGCTCCCCTTCTCTCAAATCATCCGTAAGATGCAAAATGATAGAGGAGTCTCCTCTCAACCACCTCTCACAATAATAGGAAGGAGGGTAAGGCCATTTGAGAAGCTTGCACATGTCCTCAACTCCTCCCCTCACCCCTATGTCAACACACTCCCTCTAAGTTGTCCAAATCCTATTAATTGGAGTCTACAAGACATGTGGGAAAATCCCAAGTGGGTATAGGAAATCCCTCCCAATTATTCCTGCTATTTCAGGCAGGTTGAGTCAAAATAGCACTTGGGTTGCCCAAACATTTTCCTCAACTTTAGATGACATTATATTGGGCTTCTATAATTTTTATGATGACCCTACTAATTATTTGGTAGCCCATTCTCACCAATCTGTTACACGAAATTATTCGCTAGAAAATTCAAATACATACTAATATTACATTCAAGTACATCCGGGTGCGGTGTCACACGTCACGTCTACAATCGAGGGGTGTCCCTGTGATATGTGGTATTGTGATACATGTGAAGTTGAATTTGAGCTAGGTTTTCTACGAAAGGGACCCCCACCGACACTGCTCTCACCGGCAGATCTGTCACGTGTGTTTGGAGCCCATGATCTCGCGTGGTTCTACGGATCTGTTGGGGAGGGTTCAGGGTTGACCACGGCTGTGGTGAGGGATGATGTGCTCTTAAGACGTTCTACACATACAATATATTTGAACAAACGCTATTTTGGAGGGGAATATGTTGTTGACTAGGATTTTGGTTGGCTAACTACGTCATGAATTCCACTGTAATTGGAAGTTAGCATGTATTAGGGGACCTAAAGTGTGCCGGTCCCCCTAA